GGTTTCTCTCCGCCGCTCAGGGACGCCTCGGGTTGCGCTGTCTGGTCCATGATGGCGTGGGGTATGGGGAGGAGGTGGACGGGGTTGACGGTCTGCCTGTGCGGGATCGAAGTGTTTTTGGGCACAGCTCTACTCAGCACACCAGCGTGTATGGAGCCTGATACTATTGGGCCATGTGTCTAATACGTGGTAGGGTCCAAAGGGACAATCGAGAACGGGGCGGACTTAGGCAGACCTATCGAGCGCCTCCTTCAGCCCAGCTCCGACGGGCGGAATCTAGCCATGACCCCGATCCTGTTTGCATGACAAATCGACCGCTCCAGCGCAAGGGCGCAAGGACGCGCCTTTCGGAAAGTGGTGCTGATAACCCCGACAACAGTCGTCAGCGATAGGAATCTGCTCGGTAGCGTCGCTTCGGGTGTGGGGAGCGGTTGGAATGCATGGGTCCAAAGAGGGATTGTGATTGATAAGCCCTGGCCAGACATCTTGGCCTGACACCCTGCCCAAAAAAAAGTCCGGACCGCAATTTATTCCCCACCACCACAAAAAAAAGAGCCCATTCAATCTGCAGTCATTTTACCCTTTGCATTTATAAAAAGCGAAAAACGTTATTGTGGCTATAAGTAGTGCCTTTTGCATCAAGATAATTACAAATTCCTTGAACGCGTGTTTTTTTAGGTGTAGAATGCGGCGCGGGCATATTGTTTGGCTTTGGTGCTGGTGCAATTATGTTGGGAAAGGTAGAGTTTGGGTGGGGGAAAAAATTTGCGGTCCGGACTTTTTTTTGGGCAGGGTGCCTGATTCGACCACGACACAACCACGAACAACGTGGAGTCTCCACTTGACGTCTGGGGTTCGCAACGGCGCGCTGGTGGCGTGGCGCGGGCCAAAGCCAGTTCGTCTGCCCAGCATCGGGTCTCAGGCTGCCGACCCTGGTGTTGGGCTGTGCTTGTCGACATGGAGGCGGCCGCCTCACTTTATTTAGAGCAGTTCCTGTGCCGACTCTCCGCCAACGCACTTGGGCTCGGGGTCGAACCCCAGCTCGCTCAGCGACGTTGCGACCCTGCCTGTCTTCTCAAACTGCAGCTTGGCTGCCTTGTATGTGTGTCGCTGCCAAACCTGCTCCTCGGTCCAGACAGGCGGCTCTTTCCCACCGGCCGCCTTGGACGCCCATGCGTGCATTTCCTTGAGATACTCTACATCGCCGTCCTTCGGGTACACGTGAAAAGCCGGACCCCGCTCCTGGACGGCCCGGTCTTCCCACTCCCTCATGTCGCGCTCAGACGGCAGAGGCAGCGCGTTCGCCCAGATGCGCGCGAAGATGGCAGCCTGGCCCTCGGAGAATGGAAAGGGGACGACCTTGATCGGTAGGCCGGGGAAAGCCAGGGTCGGGTGGCCGATGTGGAGGAAGTCCTTGTAAAGCCCGCACACCCTGCGGCCGTTGGTGACAAGGGGCGGCTCCAGCGATTCCAGAAACGGGAAGGCGAACAGGTAGCCCGTGCAGAAGATGATGGCGTCGATATGCTGCTCGACTCGGCCATCCCTTAACCGCACCCCCTTCTCTGCTACGAGGAACTCGGTGATGTCGGGCACCTCCTCTGCCCCGATGTGCTCTAGCTGATCTTCAGCCGTCGGTTCGCGTACGGACAAGAGGACCCTCGCTCCCGCCCGTTGGACCTGTTTGGCGATATCTACGCCAGAAGCCGAGTTGCCAACAACCACCACCCTCTTGCCGGCGTAGCTCGCTGGCGATCGATAGAGCTTGGCGTGCGTGATAACTCCAGGGTGTGTTGAGTGAAACGCCCGGATGTTGGTGATGTCGGGTGTGTACGTCGTCGCGTAATGACCCGACGCCACGACCACGGCATCAAATGTGAATGACTTCGCGTTGCTACCGTCTGTCGCCTCGGTGTCCATATCCCACTGGTCGATGTCGCCATCCCGTCGTAGCCGCACGTCCTTGACCCTCGTCGAGAACCTGACCAGGGAGCGCACGTCTTGAGAGTACTCGACAAGATAGTCCTGGACCGCCTCCCTGGGTGGGAATATGGGGAGGCCGGGCGGAAACGCGAGGTCTGAAAAGCGCATCAGCGGGCTTGGGATGTTGGTATGTAGTAGGTCGTACATGGGCGAGGGGAACACGGCGGGGGCGCCATCGGCAGGGAAAATCGGGGGGTCCGGCGGGCAAAAGGGGTCTGTCTGTGGCAGACGCAGCGTGCTCGTCGGTGTCTTGCTGTAGTTCCAGACCCCGCCAACCTCGGCCGACTGCTCGAAAATGACAATCTCGTCAAAGGCCTTCTGGGCCACGAGGTATTTGGCGGCCGAGAGGCCGCATGGTCCCGCGCCAATGATGGCCACCTTTTTCACCTTGAAGAGAGCCCTGACGACCATCTTGAAAGGACGGCGAGGAGTTAAGATCAGGATGCAGGATCGAACAGGTCGGTCAAAGCCCAAGCTCTGCTACCGTACCAGTGCCCAGGTCCTGTGGTCAAGATTCGAAGAGAAGACCCCAGAGAAACATGTATATTCGGCACCGAAAGCCGGAGGAACGTGGGATGGGGCAGCCCCTTGGCATCTGGGTGAGCTCGGCATAGCACGCCATCAGAGCTATCGTCTTCCGGCCCACACGCTGACTAGCTGCCAGTCAGATTTGGGTCATTCAGGTGCAGAAAAAAAAAGAAATAAAACCCATAAATATTGCATGTAAGCCCATGGCTGCCCCAGAGATCGGGATGCCGAATCCGGCCCCGTCTGCTTGATTTCTATCTCTGCCCACCGAACGCACCTTCCCCCTTTGGAATTTGCAGAAAGTGGAGTCTTCCCCCACCTGCCTGCCGACCGCGAACCAGGCCGCAAAATCAATTCCCTCTGACGCTATTGACCCACCGCCTTCCATTCCCGGCGCCTTCCTTGGGTGGTGTCTCCAAAGTCTCATGTGCCGTTTGCAGGTGCAGGGGTTGCCGCCCAGCCGTGCTGCTCGCGAACTTAGGTCGGGTTGGTAGCTGCGCTGCAAGCTCCCTCTGTCAAGCTACCACCACGACCAGTCTGCGATAAAACCACACATTGCGAAATCCATCCTGCCACCACCCGCGACAATCTACCGAGCCGTCTAGACGTCTCTTTCTCGGCCCCGACTGCGCCTCCCGCGTCCATATTCTCGTTAGCGTCCAGATGATCCGGACTAGAGCGCGCGGACGGCATCTCTCGACACGAGCTCCATCCCCGGTGACGTCGCGACTTGCCTGCTAGGACTGGCCCCGAAATGGACGACGCTCCCGCGAGCACCGCCTTAGCGGCGCGTGTCGCGACGCCCATATCTCAGCTCTGCCCCGACCTGTTGGAGCAGCAGTCGCGCGTTGTACGGGGCGAGGTCACCATCTGCTGGCCATTAAACTCGATCCGGCAATCATTTGCCTTTGTCATCGCCGAGCCCGACGTCCGACTTCGCGCCTCTCACGGCCAGATTCGCGTTCAGATCGACGGCCCCAATGCCAAAGCCGTTGCTCAAAGCGGGATTTTCAGTGGCGACGAGGTTCTCCTAGCCTTGGATGGTGCCGAGTGGGCGGACAACTCATATCAGGACACCAGGATACCGGGGTCTTCGTCACTGTGGGAGCTCAGATACCCCGGGCGAATCCTTCTCGAGGTAAGGCTGCGCTAGAGTCACTCCTGCCGCCTCTGTCAACTCTGACCCGGGAAATTTAGTTTGCTTCGGATTCTGGCGAGACGAAAACACTGGATTTGGACCGAGACCAATCTGCGGGCGCCTCAGGTGTCGCTGCTATCTACGAAGTGCCTATCATCGACATCCACGTGCCTGACGCGCCTGCCGTCTCAAGCCCTGTCAGGCCGGCCGAACCTGATGAGTATGCTTCTCCGGCCTTCATCAAGCGGGCTCGACTATCGTACGGCTCTCTTCTGGACACGGACAACGATTTGTTTGAGGAAGACGGGTGGGTCAAAGGAAAAGGGCGGAAAAAAGCCAGGTTCGGCCGGTACAGCAATTCGTGGAGATATACCAGTCGGTCACCAAGTCCCGAATCTAGCGGCGACGATGTCGAATCGTCAGGGCCAGCAGCTACCACCAACGATGCTCCACCCGCCGCCCACCCGCTTCAGCCGCTTGACGAGCTCTCGATGGCGGATAATGGATGCCAGGTTGTCGAGGCCGATATCACACCAGAGAAGGCGCGGGATGGTCTTGAGACAGCACACAGTCCAGCTCAAGAACAGCTGATCTCACCAGAGGAGGCGAAATCAAAAGGAACGCCGCAGAACCCTGTGGAGATTGACGACGGGCCGGCAGACGATGACTTTGCCTGCAGTGCTCGGGAGGATGAACCTGGCCAACTCTCTGTCTCTTCTAACGGCGATGAACCAGCGCAGATGCGCATCACTTTCCCGGCAGCACAAGGGTTTGCGGCACCAAGCCTTGGAGACTACTCATCCCCAAGATTTGCAGCCAACATTCCTGGAAGCTCTTCGGCATATGAGGGCCCATCACTTGGAGAGCAGGTCAGATTTGGCTTCCATCATAGCCCGGCGGCTACGACTCTGGTAGACAGCCAACAGCCGCAAACAGTACCGCTGTGGAATCTAGCCAGCAGCCAGGTCATGGATCATAACCATGTCGATGCCGAGCTCAACATCGATCCCGCTCTTGTGGCAGCTGAAGCTCCCGGCACAACCCTTGATGATCAGCCAGTGTCATTCCCTGGAGGCGAGCCTCTGGGAACACCCGATAACTATAATCAGCAGCGATTCCAGAACGAGGCAGAGGATGTCATGGCAGTAGATGCCGAAGGCGATGGTGTAAAATCTCTTTTGGACTCCTGCTCCGACGGAGACGAATCCGAGTACGAACGCGAGTTGGCAAACGAAGCTGGCGACGACTACGACATGAGAGCTTACGCCGATGTTGACGACGATGTTGAGGGTGTTGAGCTCGACCAAGAACCGGCCGATTATAACGATGGCGAGATATTTGAGGATGGCGGCAGCTATTACTCTGATGAGGAGGGGGAAGAGTATTTGTCCGACCAAGAAGATGAAGAGAGGTTGTATGATGAGGACGGGGTTAGCGAAAGCGATGGGAACGCAGCTTCGTCACCCATCCACAGAGCTCCTGTCCAGCCTCCCCAACAGGCCGGGCCGATTGTGATCGACCTGCTCTCGGACTCGTCCGACGACGAAGACGGTGACACCAAACCCCCTGTTCCGCCCGCATCAACATCAATGAGAACGCTCCAACACACAGCACAAGACTCACCACCCTCCCCATCATATGAGGTGCGTTCTGATGACCGTTTGAGCGAGGATTCTGAAGACTCGGAGGGTTATGAGGGCTCTGAGGCCACCGAAGGGTCCGATATCGACGCCTCGGGCGAGAGCGAAGATGAGTTGGATGAGTTCGATAGTCCTGCACAGACTACACAGCTCAGGGATCAACCAGCAACCCCAATCGACGGTGCCACTCGTGGAGATGACGTCTCCGATTCCGAGCTCTCCGACGACGACGGAGACGGAGACGAGATGCGGGATGAGACAGTGGATGTTGAGGAGCCATCCATGGAGGCACCTCTGTCCCCTGCAGTAGCTGCACCAAGCGATCAGAACAGCGATTCAGCCGACAGAGATCAAGTCGCCGACATAGCAGTGCCCCTGCCAGTTGATGACAAAAGCGAGAAAACTCCTGCCGAAGGTGCCCACATACCTCTGATATCCGGGGCCCCGGTGCAACTACCTGTCGCCGAAGTTACCATGGAAGATCCCGAAGTCACGCACGCCCCTAATTCAGATATGGAAGGTCCAAGTGGAGCCGTGTCTTCTGGGCACGGAGTCGGGCTCTCTGTTGATTCGCAGGACAGCACAGCGCGGCCATCAACACCCAAGGCTACCAGATCTCTTGCTGACAAAGAGGAGGTAGAGCGCGTTGACGAGGTTGATCTCTTGGTCGTGCCGCCTCCTGTACCCCAGAGTATCGGCTCGAAAGGTCCTGAGGAATATCACTCGGCCGAGAATACTATCTCCTCACCCGGCGCAGGAGATACGTTCTCCCCGAAAGCCGTGGATAGCGAGACTGCGGGACAACTGCCGACTCCACTCGACACTCAACCCGAAGCGGTCCTGGGCACTCAGGCAGCTGGGGACTCTATGATGCAAGTAGATACTCAGCCCAGCAGCCAGGACGACGCCAATACGAGCCACGGAACACAGGCCGCTTCTAGTCTGGAAGTGGCATGTGCGACTACAACAACTACCATCGTGGAGTATGTCGAGGTGGTTGAGCTTGATGGTGATGACAGCAGCGGCAAGGATTCTCGGTCAGCCGTTTCTGCAGACGAAGAACACGAAGATGAAGAGATGGCTGATGCTGAGGCACCAGAGCAAGAATCAACCGACGATGAAATGGCTGACGTGCGAAGCGATGACTCGAGCCTTCACTCCGATGAACTCGAGGCTGTAATGGAGCACGCATCGGCAATCGACTCTATCTCCGCTTTCGCAACTCAGGAGGCTCTCTCGACACAGGATGAGCCGCTCTCCCCCTTGGACGCGCCTGACAACACCTCTGTGTCCGATTTCTCCGACGGCAAAGAGCGGTCAGAAGCTGAAGCGAGTTTCAGGACACCTACCAGGACGGAACGCAACAGCGTGCCTAGCTCACAGCCGCATACAGCGCCAAACCCCAGTGTCCAGGACTCCTCCGTGCATCTCTCGGCCTCCGAGGAGCTGCCTGAGGATGCCGCCTCTTCCCAATCATCAGCTGAAGATGTCACAGCTCTGGATTCGCCTGTGCTGGGGGTTATGGAAGAGCTGTCTTCCGATGTCGAGCAATCCGCCCACGCGTCCACGACACAGGAGTCTCCTCTCGTCTCATCTCCCGCGGTGGAGAGTGGGCGCGGTCAAATCGTTATGCAGTCCGAGATGGGCTTTGCTGCTCGGGCACCTTGCTCGGGAGACGAGTATGTTAATGGCGATATTCTCACTCAGTCGCAAAACATTCAACGCGTAGTCCCCTATTCACCTGACGCCGGTGCCCCTAGCGAGACTCACCGGCAGCGGCCGTCTCGCTTCGCGTCCCAGGAGCCGCCCTCCGATGAAGACCAAGAGATGGACGACGATGCTCAATCCGACCAAGTCACATCTGCCTCCGAAGACATTGACGAGTCGGAAGACGATGAGTCTACTAGAGTGGTAAAAGAAGCCGGCACCGCCACCAACCATGGTCCCGAAGACGCAGGTCTCGATTCCGAAGCCCATGGCCCACATGAAAGCGACAGCGCGAAGGCGACGCCATCGTTTCCCAAGGCCGATTTCAAGATCAACATCAGAGACGAGTATCGGGTCAACGCTGCGCTGCCATCACCGGCCCAGGAAGAGCCTCAAGAAAGAAGCGGGTCCAGCGTCGCCGAGATGGAAGTGGCAGCGCCGTCCCCGCCTGAACCGGCTCAGGCTTCGCACGGGAATGCATCGGACACAATAGCAGTGCGGGCGGATGAGGAGACCCCAACCCGCAGGGCCCCACGGAAGGCCAAGATCAACTTGGCAGCGCCGGCACCTTCGGACCCGAGTATCAAACTTGCCCGGGCAGCAGCTGGTGTGAGGAAAGTTTTGCCCACTGCCGAGATAGGCCCTGGCCAAGAATCGCCCTGCCAGCCAACAACACCAGCTGCCAGCCTCGCCGCCACGAGCCCTTGGAGTGCTGGGTCCAGTCCAACTGGCACTGGTCAGCCCAGCTTTCAACACACGGCCAGTGAATATAGCGACACAGGGAGAGTGATCGATAAGTCGGCCACAATGACGCCTGAGCAAATATCGAAGCTCCAAAAGCTGGACGTCATCACAAACATTTTGGGCCCTGATTGGGGAGGTAGCGGCGGCACACCACCATCCACAATCACTCCCCGCGCGACTAACGAGGTGAAGAAGATCGCAGAGGAAGCACAGCAACTGCTGCCCTCGGCGCTGTTTGAGTATTTCCGTGTTCATCTCTGGACCGTGCCTCCTGAGAACTGTCTCGACGAGCTACAGGGATTTTTTGTCCGTAGTTTCCCTTATGGGACCTTCCCGGAAAGAAAGGCACAGCAGGCGGTGAAGGACATGCGCCGGATAATCAAGTCCAGATCGAACCTCAAACCGAGGAGCCGGACACCTCAGAAGGCGCAAGATCCCAGCCTGAAGCTGGCCAAGGCGGTGCTCAATTCGCCGTCTCGCAATCTCCGTGCGCCCAATGCGGGAGATGCGGATGCGGATACGACCCCTGAGACTACAAACACGACCATCACAAGTCTCAAGCTGGAGATTGGGCGCTTCTTCCGAGGCAACATGGCGGACTACACGACACTGATATCACTCCGCTTACACCCGGGCAAGCAGCTCAGCGTGGTAGGGGTAGTGACTGCGGCAAGCAAGCAGCCGGTGCGAACCAAGGCGCGGCAGTATGCCATATCCATCAGCATCACTGACCACACGATTTCGCCCACAAACGTCGTCGAAGTGCAGTTCTACATGCTGCACCGGGAGGCTCTGCCCGTCGCCAAACCGGGCGACCGTGTCCTGCTCCGCAACTTCACCGTTGTCGGGCTGACGGGCCGCGGGCACGGTCTGCGCTCCAATGATGCTTCCGAGTATGCTGTCTTCGACGACAAGTGCGATGAGGTGGGAGGAAACCGCAGCTCCTACGACCACGAAGACAATGGCGACAACGACGAGGGCGGCAGCGGCAGCACGCAGCAGATGGCCCAGATTCGTGGGGGGCCAATTGAGCTCGAGGACTACGAGTACGAGATTGCCACCTTGCTCAAGAACTGGTACAGCCTACTGCCACCTGCCTCGAAGGAGAAGCTCGAGAAGGCCAATCGAAAAATGGCCACGGCCGGGGCGGCGATCTTGGTGGGAGGCTAGGGATGATGCACCAACACCCATGGCATTCGCATGGCGGAGGTGGAGTGGTTGGTTTTATGAAGTGGCGGACGGACTCGGGAGGACTCTCGATTTGGAGCCAACCTAAAGGTAGACATGGGTGTCAACAGTGCCTATTGCTGGTTGGGTGTGCCTACTGAGAGAAGAAAATACCAAAAGAAAGCGTCAAGTGAGACGGCAGAGACACATGTATAGATTAATGTTGGTTTGTAGCGATTTTTTCTTGATCAGTTCGAAGTATACCCGGTTGATTATTGCGACATGGGCGCTGTGTCTCGGGAGCAATAGAGGACGCATACCGCGCCGACAAAGACATTACATGGCTCGCACACGTCTTGTCTACCCTGGCTACTTTGGGGAAACGGATGGTGCCAAAAGTCACGTAGAGATGGCAGACGCAGTTTCCAAGAGGTGTCGGTGAGTAACCATAGCTCCCGCAGGGTCACGGCTAGGGAGCGGCCGCGAGAGATCACTCGATCTCCTCTATCAGAGGCCGGACGCGCTTCCTATCCGACAGGCTCTCGGCGCCCCCGTCGCGCGCGAGTGACGTTTCCGTACACGATCGCTTGCGGGGCTCATCGGGGTGGTAGTCTATGCGGCGGCCGGGCGGGGACGGACCCGACGCCGGCGCGGGGACGGGCGGGCCCCCCTCGATGCCCTCCATCCCGTCGGCGTCTGCGTCCCCGCCCCCGCCCTCTTCCTCTGACGTCTCCTCTTCCTCCTCGCTGCTAGTCCCGCTGCTGCTGGTCTCGCTGTCCTCCAAAATCGGCTTCGGCCGTGGCCGGGGCCGAGACACCGCCGGCGCCGCCGTCTCGACGGCGCTGGACAGCAGCTCATTTGGGTTGAGCGGGGTCGGCGGGGCAGGCACGCTGACGCTCACGGAGTGGCTCCTCGCCCTCGCGGGCCTGCCGGCCGGGAGATACGGACGCGCTGCCGCCATCTTCAGGCTCGTTTCAACGTCGAAATCCCGCTGCAATATGGGCAGCGAGCTCTCGTCGGAAGAAGAAGACTCGGAGTCGCTGGAGCTGAGCGCCCGGATCATGGGCGGCGCCTTGGCGGCGGCGGCGGCGGTGGCATCTGTTATCGCTACGGTTGCGGACGGCGCGGTGCCGGCGGCTGGGATGGCGAGCTCGAAATCCTCCTCGTCCTCGCCGTCGCCATGGCCCCTCTCCTCGAGGATTCCGGCTACGATCTCCATCTCGACGTGGGTCCGTCCCTGCGCCTGCTCCTCGTCCAGTTCGAACTGATGATTGTCGCCATCGTCGTCGTCGTCGTCGTTATGGCCACAATTACCATCGCTGGTGGTTGTGGGATCAGTGGGCAAACCCGGGGTCCGCGAAGCCGACCCTTGGCCGGCAGAGGCACCCCCAGAGCGAGCGATCTGGGCCATGAACTCGGGGAGGACCTTGAGGATGTCGGAGCCGCGCAGGTCCTCGGCGGTGACACGCATGACGGGCTTCTCGCCCGGCGGGCGCCTGCGCAGGTCGACGATCTTGTCCATCTCCTCGGCCGACGCGAGGGTGGGCTCCATGTAGGCGGGGAAGGGCTCCGCGGTCTTGGGCTCCGACTCCGGCTCCGGCCCGACCTGGCTTCCCAACAAGAGTAGAGGGTGGGCCAGCAACTTCTCTTGCTTTGTCGTGGCGAGTGGACTGGATCCTGGCCGGATGGGCAAGCTCTTGGCGGCTTGGCACTGACGCTGGCGAAGGCGGATGTGGGCTATGGAAGTGCCATGTCAGTATAGGTAAAAATAAAAATAAAAATAAAAGTAGCGAGGTGTTGGAGGCACGAGTTTCCATCACTAGAGGAAATCGCGGGGATCAAGTCAAACAGCAAGAGGCCGGGCACCACTGTCTAGGTACCGAGAGGCAGACGACGAAGGATGCAGCAAGTAAACAGAGCTTCCATACGATCAACATTGGTGTTCAAGAGGTCAGGATAGAGCCCAACGATTTCGGAGCGCTTGTTGCCAAGACAGAACCTGGTATCGCCGTAATAATCTACGACCCATATCTCGGCCCGTTCCAGGATGCTAATGCCGTCCAGGGAGCCGAGCAGGTCCCCGCAGTTCAGGCAGTCGACAGCGATAGAGAGGGCCTGGACATATAGATGACGCAAACAGCTCGAGACAGGCTCGATCTCGTAGGTCGGCCATGAGTCCAGAGACGATTGTAAATCCATCTAGACAGGAACAGAAGGGGGTATAGAAGGAAGATAAAGGACCGGCGCGCGAGGGTGTGATAGTGCTACTGGTCGGTGCAGAGCGAGCACAAAGGAGGCGAGCGTCCCGGTGCTCTCGCGCCCCCCTGGCTCCATCTTCTGGTGTCGGGGCGGCATGTTTGCGTGAAGAGCAGGAGTGGCTGGATAGCGGAGATAGGACCGAGTGTTTGTGTTGGCGCAACAGACGTCACGGAAGGCTTGAACCTACAAGAAGCCAACAAGTATAGCAAGTGGGGTGCAGAGGCGACCAGTGGGCTGTGTCAGCCCTCTGTGCCTGCTGGACCTGCTGGGCCTGTTGCCCTCACTTTGGGCCGGGGAGAGATCGGGCGAGGTAGATGGGAGGAGCGGGTTGGTTTGTCGGATCGCTCTTGTCGCTAACATATACTAGTAGGAGGGAAAAAAAATGAAGGGTGAGTGGACCTAGGTCAACGATGGACAAATAGACGAAGCTCCTTTCAACACTCGCCAATTGGTTGACTGCAGGACATAGACCTATGTAGCGACCTGGGGCGCGTTTCCCGGAACTGTTGACCAGGACGGCGGCCGCGGCGAGTTCGGATCCGACACAAAGACGCGTGACATGCCGAAGTCGAGAAGTCAAAGGGTGGGCCGGGCCCGTACAATCAGCCATTTGGGGATGCGTGGACGGCCGGGCTTGGGTGGGTCGGCGGAGAGGCAGCGGGCCCAGGCACCAGGAATAGCGTCCTTACTTAGGTGTCCTTACTTAGGTAAGGTGCTGAGGGAAGCGCTGGGAAGGTACCTCCATCGTCCCATCTTTGTTTCCTCAGCTTCTATTCACGGATCGAAACGTCGGCTTCCAGAGGCTCCAGTCCAGCAGCAACCGCAGCCAGGCACATCAGCCAGGGTCTAGCCACTATGCACTCGACCATCCCTGCAACCGCCCAGCTCGCGTCATTGCGCCGTTTCAGACCAGCCTCAACATGCTCTGCCCAGCGCCACCAATCCCGCCTGTCAGACAAGCGCCCCGTCCCAAATCTTGTGCGGTGCTTGCCGTCAGTTGGGGGCCGTGGGACACATGATGTGATTGTGTATGTTTGCAAGTCCAGGCATATTACTGCGTGAGTAGGTAGGTAGGTAGGTACCCAGATGTCCTATATAGAGATGTATATACCGAGATGCAATCGATGCTCGCCTCCTGTCCTTCCCAGCAACAATATGATTCAGCTGCCTGCCAAAGCGGGACCCGACCTGAGCCAGGACGCAGTCTTGCACCTCGAAACTGCAACAGACTGGCCGCCTTTGGCGCATCTCTGCGCCGCTTCAAGCCAACACTGCCACGGGCTGCCCCTGATCCGAGACTCGCTCGACATGGGCGTGATGGGGTCCCCGGCGAGGAATGGAATCCTCGCCAGCCAGCCAACCAGCCGGCCAACCAGCCGGCCATGCCAATACCAATGCCAATGCGGCGCTGTCGTTGAGCTGGGCGGCACCAACACGGCCAAACAAGCAAGCAACCTGTGACTGGCAGCCTGTGACTGGCAGGCACACCTCAAACCTCCAACAAACCTGCTGGACGTGCGTCGCAGTCGCCCGTACCCACCCCTCCACACAAGCACCCCCCCTTGGCCGTCTGGAGCTTGTTCCACTCCGACTGCTGGGCCCGGGAGCTGTCCCGCATCTGTCTTCGTCTGCCGGGTCGGTTTGGAGCCTCACACCGCCGTCCACCTTTTATTCAAGCCATCCCCAGTGCCAGTTAGCCCCCTTTCTTCTTGTTTTCTTGTCCTTTGTCTTCATCCGACGACCTTGACGGCAGCCAGAGCCCTCGCGACGCTCCTTTTTGAACCTCTCAACAACCCGCCGATCAGCAACCCCTCCATCCATCCGTCCCAGTAGCCACCACCGCCCGCCAAAAAAAAAAAAAACACCATGTCTTCCTCCTCCCCCGCGCGTCCAGCCCTCTTCACGCGTGGCCTCTCGGGCCTGTCGCAGACTACCGACCCAAACTCCCCCAGCGTCAACTCCCCGGCCGAGCAGCGCGACGATGCCAAGCGGAATTTCCTCAAGACTATGAGGACGCTGCCCACCCAGCACTACTGGGACGTGTACTTTGACAGGTGAGCCTATGGCATTTACTCGAGAGAAGCGCGCGCGGGAACAAGAGAAAAGAAGGAACCCCCCTGACACGAGAAACCGCCCGGCCCCGACAGGAGCCAGAATGCCGACAACAACAACCAGGGCGGCGATGGCACCTACAAGGTGCAACTCGAGAAGCTGCCGACCCAGATCGAGTCGGTGCAGGACTTTTGGCGCTACGCCAACAACACGCCCGTCCAAAACATGAAGATGCGCGACTCCATCTACCTGTTCAAGCAGGGCTTCAAGCCCGTCTGGGAGGACCGCAGGAACATCAACGGCGGCAGCTGGACTTTCCGCGTCCACAAGAACATCGGCCCTGAGGTCTGGACAAAGGTCCAGCTGCTGGCCATCGGCGAGGAGCTCCAGGGCGCTCTGGAGGAGGGTAAGCACCGGCGGAATCATACACGTGGCTTTTTCCTAACAGCGGGCTAACTCATAACCTCTTCCCCCCCAAAAAAACACAGGCGACCAGATCTGCGGCGTCGGCCTCTCGGTCCGCTTCAAGGCGCACCTCATCTCCATCTGGCACCGCGACTCGTCCAAGCAAAAGTCCATCGACGGCATGCTCGCCGTCGTGCTCGAGGCCCTGTCGTCCCTACCCGAAGACCAGAAGCCCAAGCCCGACAGCTACTTCTATAAGAAGCACTCGGACCACGCCGGCTTCAAGGCCCCGCCCGAGCTGCAGGCCGTCCTCAACTCGCAAAAGGCCCGCGACGCCGCCGCAAAGGCCGCAAAGGAGGCCGCCACCCCGCAAGGCGCCGCCAGCGAACTCGCCGTGCCCGAGATCCAGGAGCCTTCTGTGTAATTGTTTCTATCCACTGTTTTAATGCCTCTCTTTTTTCCTCTTTTTCTTTCACGACTACGGGGCTCACCCAACGAGCCATGGCGCACAATCGGGGAACGAGAAACAAATATAGTCCGGCTAGGACCTGTAAGGTCGAAACTCGCGTTTGACCTTGGACCATGCGCTTGCGTGGTGAGTGTGGTGAATTCTGAACTTTTTTTTTCCCCTCAGAGGCAAACGAGGACGGGGGATCGAGCCGCGGACAAGGGTGGCAATCACCGGCTCCCATGGTGGATGCTTGATTTCAGTCTGATTTTTGCATACTGCGGCGTTCTGAAAAAGACGGATATCGTGGGCATGTGGCATCATATACCAGCAACCATCAACCTTGACGTCTATACAGATAGCGTTGGTATCTCCTTTCGAGTGATCTTTTCCGAGGGAGCCCTCCGTTGACGTGTCCCAATGGTGAGCTCTGTACAGAGCTGTGCGCAACTGGCCCGCAAACATGTTTCTTGCCGGCTCTACTACTTCCGACGTGATCGACGATACCGCAGACATGCAGACACGCAACTTGTCTTCACCCTCAGTGTCAGCAGACCCAGGCATCCTGGGAGAATGGAAAGAAAAGGATCAACTGCTATCCTTCACTGATCAAGTTTATGGCCACACTAGAGACCTCAGACATGTACTTGTTTCCATCCGCATTGTATGCATCATCACGCAGGACAGCCAGTTTTCACAAGGCGTAGGAAGGTTCTTTCCCTGTCGGAGGAAGTCGACGAAGCAGCAGAAGCACACTCAGCCTCAAACATCAAGCAACGAGATTGCATCCACACTCTGCACACATGGGTTTGTCTGTCTCCATCAAGCCACGGGCCGCGAGACTCTGGGACGAGTGCACGACGGTATAGTGACCCAAAGGAAGGGCGCGACCAATAGGACGGGCCCCTTGTTTTCATCTTGCTTCACTGTCCACACTTGCTCGCTCTGGGGTTGTGAGAAAGCGGCAAGCTCTAGCAAATTTTGAAGCGGCTGGTTTGGGAAGGGCAAAGAGGGGTCGACAAGACGCCCTCTCGTCGGTCATGGTGGTAGGGAAACAATAAACGATACGAGAAAAGGCAAAGAGAGAGCGAAAGATGTGTTCGCTCTGCCTCGACGGAAACAGCGTCGACTTCTGCGGGCTTCCGCCGGTCTCACCTACCTGGCATGACGGGGAGAGGTTGAGCAACAGAGAGACTAGCCTGGTGGTCGGTTGGCGTGGGGCCTCTCTCCCGTCTGCACTGCAAGCTTGGTAGCTGGTCGTTTGCGTGATTTGGAGGTTTGGAGGGCTGCAAATTTGAACAAAGGATGTGGCTCTTTTAAGCGACAGGGAAGACGCTCGGACCATGTCTCCGGCACAGTATCGTTTCTTGCCGTTCGCAGACTGTGTGGCCGCCCTCGGCCCCAGTCATCCCCCCCGCCGCTTTCGTACGGACGCCCGCCATCAACTCTCGTGAATGCCCTCCGCAACCCTATCCACCCCGCCAGCAGCCATGGTGTCGCCGTCGCGCTCTTGAGCCTACATCGGCCAGGCACCGAAGCCATTTCCTTCCCACCGCCGAGGCAGCTTTTTTTTTCTCAGAAACTAACGACGGCAAGACATGGTGCGTCTGGCCCCGAAACCCCCATGCGCAGACAACACTCCAGACGCGCGGTGGCGCGAACCCAAAAGGCTAACAGAGACGCGACCCCACCCACACACAGCCCCCGAAGCGCAAGGCCGCGGCCTCGTCCGGCGCCGGCACCGGCAGCAGCAGCAACAACAACAGCAGCAAACGGCAGTCGAAGCTGGCCAAGGAGCACAACATCTCGGCCGACGAGGAGGCCGAGATCAGGGAGGCCTTCAGCCTGTTCGCCGAGCCCATGGAGGGCGAGAGGGAGGGCGTGATGCCCATCGAGGACGTGCGCCGGGCCTTGATGTGGGTGGCGCCTCTGCACACTTGCACTTACTTTTTTGCTCTTCCTGGCTCTTTCTCCATCATCCGCGGAGCGCTGACCTTATTTTCCTTTCGTTTTCGACGTCACAAAACAGTGCCCTCGGCATCCCCCCGACCGACCAGGCCGAGCTCGCCGACTTCGTCTCGATCCTGGACCCGGATGATGAAGGGTTCGCGCAGTACCCGTCCTTTGTCGCCATCTGCGCGCTCAAGCTGCACGCGGCGCACCAGGGCTCCGACGCGCACCTGCGCGAGGTCGACGACGCCTTTTCCCTCTTTACGCACGGCGGCGGCGGTAGCGGCAGTAGCGCCCACCGCGATGGCAGCAGCAGCAGCAGCGACCAGCCCGTCATCACCGTGGCGCACCTCCGCCGCGTGGCCGCGATGCTCCAGGAGGAGGACGTGGGCGACGCGCTGCTGCGCGACATGATCCTCGAGGCCAACGGGGGCGCCGGCGTCGCCAGGGGCGTCACGCGCGACCAGTTCGAGGACGTCATGCGGCGCGCCGGCGTTTGGAGGTGATGATGGCCCGACGAGGGTGCGCTCGGGGCAGGAACCGAAGCGTCCTTTTTTCCTTTCCCCTTTGGCCTCTATTCGAAATTACGGAACGACAACAGATACGCGAGACCCCAAGTGGTCCTACCAACGCCTCGCTCCCACCGTCACTCTCGTCCGGGGGGTGCGTCCGGAGCAGCCAGCCCCCCCTCGGGGTCCGCGCGCGGTTCGCGATGGAATTACAGTTGCGCTGGCTGTGACGCCATGACGCAGGTTTCTGTCGCAAGAAGCATGGGGTCGATGTAGGGCATCCAACGATGACATCAGGGCTCTAGATGGACAGCGAATCGCCCCCAGTCTGGCTGGTCGATACCAATCAGTTCACGACACCCTCAATCAGCCTTTGGGTTTCCTTTGGCAGGGATTACAGGGCAGGCCGAGCACGTGCCAAGAGGAGAGAATCGCTCCAAGAGGTGGCAGGGACAGTGGTGGCATTCTGGACAAGCGCAAATCCCTGGTGGCTTACTTCCCCATGATTCGCGGGTAAAGCATCGGTTTTTGAACCATCCGTTCGAGCTGCCAACTACATTCATTGCTTGGTGGGTGGGTGGACGGCGCCGCCGAGCTGGTGATTGTCGACGACCCCTGGCGTGTTATGAAGAGAAACAGGCAGACATATCTATAGTGTAACAACTGAATGCGATGCCGTCATCTACCCCTCGCCGACGAGTATATGACGACATGGTAGCAGTCTTGCTCAATACGAAAGATTTGCCGATCCGGTTCACCTCCAGTGGCATTCGGACCCTCAAAACTACCCATCTCGCCGTCGTTACTATATGATATCTCGATACAGACTCCAAGCATATGATGGGGACGGAGATGCAGGACGGTAGTGTAGGTTGGTTGGAGAAATGACCTGGGGCTGCATGTTCTCGTTCCGGCCGCACAGGTCATGACACGTGCGCGCCGCCTGCGAGTGCATTTCTTTTGCTTGGAGCTTGCAAAGGTGGGTGAGCTGGAGAAGCCACGCTCTGCAATCAATGTCTTGTGACGAAACAGGAGCTACCCGGCTTCTGTGTCAAGAACGACCTTGAGCGGTAGTAGGTAGTGGTGGTTTCTCGTGGCCGTCATACGCGACGACTCCAGCAGAACGACAGCGTATCGAAGCACGACCAAGACATCATTTCAGACAGACGGTCAGCTTGAGTCGTCGTCGCGGTCGCCAGCGAGGAGTTTTCACAAAGGCGGCACGAGGTCTGGCTTGCTTGCCCAGCCGCCCACCATGAAGCACATCGTCGCCGTCGGCGTCTGCTACTTGGACACTATCCTAGGGTAGGTTGCCGCCAGCCGCATGAGACAGGTCTAGGAGAACCCAAGCTGGAAAGACACCGGTCTCGGGACTGGGGAACCCAGCTTACGCGGCTCGGCTCGGGGTGTGGTGTTCAGTGTCCCGTACTTCCCGGAAGAAGACTCGAAACTTCGAGCGACCAGCTCGCAGGTCCGGCGTGGGGGCAACTGCGGCAACACGCTCGAGGTTCTCCAGCAGCTTCTGCAAGGCGGAGAAGCGAGTGGTGGTGGAGACATCAGCAGTGGCAGCAGCAGCAAAACAGGTGCGGTTCATACGCAACTGCATCTACTGAGCCCGCTGCCAGACGCATCGTCACCGGCCGCGGCACAAATTCTCGGCTCATTCGAGAGCGGCGGCGGCGGCGGCTGCTTCATCGTGGGCTCGGATCTATGTCTGCATCGCGTCGGCATGACTCTGCCTGCTAGCAGCTATATCATCCGCAGTGAAGCCACGGGGTCCAGGACCATCGTCAGTCAGGTTCCGCTGGCCGAGATGACCAAGGACGAGTTCGCCGGGGCAGTCGCCGCCTTTGCCACCTCTAACTCGGACGAGACCGCGCAAGACCAGTCATGGTGGCACTTTGAGGTAAACAAGACGAGAGGAGCCTGTGTCTCTCCCTTCTCTCCCCCCTCTCGGGCCTCCTCTCGGAGACGTTTCGTATATCTGCAGGTCATCCTTCACCCTTCACTTGGTGCCGCAGGATTCCAGAGCTGCCCACGCCCGCTTGACACACGGATTCACTCCTCTCAAGTGATGTGCGAGCCCGCGCGGGCGGCTAGGTGCCTAGCCAGATTTCAATGCGGGACGCGGCATGGCAGTCGTGGCGCATAGCGCGTGCAGGACGGCGTCTGAGTGAAAAAGTATCTGATGTGGGAGGGAATGAAACAACAAGGAGGGGAGGCTGACGAGGACGAAAATTCCACAAATAAACCGGGCAGGGGCGGATACCCGAAACGACGCTCTGGTGCATCCGCCATCTGCGGTGTGTGCTGCCGTCAGCCACCGTCAGTGTCGAGGTCGAGAAGCCGGGTAGGGAGGGACTGCCGGAACTCGCTGCAGAAGCCGACGTTGTGTTCTATTCCAAGTCGTGGGCCGAGGCAAGTCAATGGTTTTTCTTGCATCACATCCTTCTCCTCCGGCCGATCACACAGCGTTTGAGGGTGTGGATACGCGTGGCGTGAGGTGTGAACGAACAGACCGCCCTGGAGGAGGAAGGGCGATGGAGGGACAGAGGTGAGCCGCCCTGCCTGTCATGCCTGCCTATCTGCAGTGAAAAGCAAGAGAATCCGCGGAGGAGGAGAAGAAGCCGGCGGCAGATGGGACAGGCTGGCAGGCAGCGGCGGAGGTAAGAACCCGGTCTGGTCAATCACCATGCGGTCGTCTGATGCAGCTGTGACTCTGACACTGCGCTCTTGTGCTTCTTTTGCACTGGTGGCCACAGTCTCGAGGATATCGCGGCCCTGAGCAGTGCCTTCGCGGCGAGGCGCGGTCGTCTCATGCGTACGTCAACAGGATTACTGCTATCCCCCTCCCCTGTGCCGTGCCCACCAATCCGACCTCGTCGTCACCCCCGGCGGGGAAGCGGCCAGCCGCTCCGCGGGGAGAGAGAGAGGGCGAGAGAGCCAAGATTTGGCGGGCATATGGCGGTGTCGTTGACGCTCGAGGTGCCTTCTTGGTCACTAGGTCCCGCCTCTTCGTCACTTGGGGCGCCGAGGGGGCCTCTGCATTCGCGACGCACGGCCGAGATTACCACTGCTGCGCGGTGAAGGATGTCGCAGCCGGCGACTACAGGGTAGTGGAGTGAGTTGTCATCTCGTTTTTTTTTCTTCTCCTTTTCTCTCGCCCTTGCGTTCCTCTGCTACCGCCGCTTGCTGCGTGCTGCTGCCTCCTTGTGCCCCTCTCAAGGTAGTAGTAGGCACGCAGGCAGCTGCCCGAGCCCCCGCCACATCCGAGCGCAAGCACCGATGCCACCACCCCTTTGGCCCGAGCGAGGGAATTACTGGCAAGTGCCAGAAGCGGGCGGTAGCGTTATTAGTGTGGTTGGTGGTGGTGGTGGTGGTGGTGGTGCCAGTCGTGCCGTACCAGTCCTGGAAGACGCACGCATGATAGTAACATGGCGCCTGGCGCACCCCCCTCCCCCTGTGGGCGGGCGGGCGGCGACGCGGGCGGTGGCAGCACAATCGGGGCCGGTGACACGTTCATAGCGGGGGTCATCTTTGACCTGTTTTGCAGGGACGGGGACGAGGGCCGGGACTTGCAGGACACGCTGCGATTCGCTGTCGGGCTGGCGACTCGCAAGGTCCAGATCGACGGCTTCGGGGGCCTGGGCGGCGGAGGACGAGCTGGGTGCGAGTGACCACACACACCAGGACAGGACAAGCTGCAGTTTCAACAAGCCAGAGACAACGACACCCCCACGGAAGAGGAGGAGGAGGGAGGGGGGACGGACGCCCCTCACCGAGTCATATGATGCGGGCGGGTATTCAACCCCCTTGGCGGTGTGAGTGTGTCTCCGTTTTCTGCCACAGGGGCGGCGGACAAATGTGCACGCACATGTGCGTTTGCGTCGGGTGGGCGGCAAGAAAGGAAGGGGAAGGCGGTGGCGAGAGATGGAGACGTGCGCAGGGTGGATTTTCATGCGGCAGACTCGTGTCCACCACCACCACCACCACCACCACCACTTCGGATTGCCCTGAGCAGAAGTGAGAGCAGGGCTCGGCTAGCAGGCGAGGTTCCTTGGGTCAGCGTAACACGGCCATCACAGCAACAGCCACGACAAGGCCGGACCACTGGCGAGGGATGGATGGCCATCAAGACAGATTGTTTGCCCATCGGGAGGGCTTGATTGGCGTTGTCCGCATGTGTGCGATTGATTGCGCTTTGCTGGGATGGTACGCCCGTATCAAAGGATACCGAGGTACGTACCACTTCCAGTAAGACAGCCCCCCGCTGGCAGATTTGCATCCCGCTAACGCTTTCCGTGGCCAATCAATCGTCATATTGGGGCCTTTTTTTTTTCTCCGTTCCCCGGACCACAATAAAAATGGCGGCCGCTCAGACTGGTCCGGTCAGGCTGGTAGGTATATTGTCTAGGTACCAACCTGTAGGCCCGGCACCCCGTACCTCAACACCACGGACCCAGCCCCCTACAGGATCGTGATATGGCAAAAGCGCGCTTGGGGGAGATGTCAGCCGAGAGTGGAGGAAACACGCGGCATCGAGTGTAGCAGTGCCAAAGTCTAGCGCCGAGTGGTTGAAAGCGGAAAGTGGAAATACCGGAAACGACGACGAATGCGTGAGAGCGAAAGAGAGGTCACATCCGGTCCCAAGATGTCTAGGCCCAAGGCCAGCAGAGCCCACACCTGTGTCAGGCAGCGCAGAGCGCCGTTTTTTCCCCCTCCATCTGATCCATCCCGGTGGTTTGTGGTGGTGGTGGTGATGGTGGCTGTCCAGGGCCGAAGTGGCGGTGTGAAAAGAAGCGCTGGTTGCCTTCCCTCTTTGGTTCGCGCGGCCCTTGGCTGGTGTGCCATAGAGCCCCACGCATTGGTTGGTTGGTGGGTTGTGCAGGCACACGCCGCCGGCGGGGGGGGGGGGCATCGTTTTGCCGCGCCCTGTGTGCTTACTTTTGCGACACTGCATCCCGTCATCATCATCCTGCTGCCGACCAAATGAGAGGCTGCGAGAAAAGAAAGTGAGAGAAAAAAAGCAAACCTGCTTGCAGCCATTCCGGCCGAGCAGCCGATAGCGCGGCAGGTAGTACGTACTCTCTGTACCTGCCTCGATAAATAGGTATGAATGTACACATGCTCCATCCTACTTTTTGCTTTCCCATTTCTTTCCGCTTCGGTTGCCATTAATTCAGACACGCAGCGTTAAGAGGACGCCGAGGCCTCATGCACACAAGTACACTTTCCTAGGCAGCCTTTTCCCCGCACAATTTCACAGGCAGACACGGTGTGTTAGGCAGAGGCTAGCAAAAACAAATGGAAAGCAGTAACTGAAACCACATTGTCAATCTTGATTCACCCTGTGCGCACACACACACACACGCACACACACACACACACGCACACACACACACGCACACACACACCGGCAGCTAGGTGGCTTCCTGCCGGTGCATTTCGGCTTGCAAATGTTGACGCATGCGGTTGCAAAGAACGCAGTAGTCTCATCCGCCTTGGCCCACTAATAAACTCTACAGTAATGCTGTGTTGTCTGTGTGGGACCGCAAAAAAAAAAAGAAAAAGAAAAAGAAAAAAAAAAAAGCGTGGTAGCACTGTCTCTCACGCACACTCTCTCGCCCTTTCGCTCGCGACTATCAAAAGCGGCCAAAGTGTCACTGCGCGCGCGCCCGCTCGTACATTGCAACCGAGTCAAGGGCGAAGGCGACAGGGGACGGGGCTGGCTGGTAAAAGACATGGCATGATGCTTGTTGTTGTGCGCCGCCGTGTCTGCGTTGGCTTTCCACAAAAGTAAGCCCGGCTCATGTCCGGGAGAGAGGCGTGACGCAACTATGGTACACTGGGGCAAGTACCTACCTACCTAACCCAACCTTGGCGAAACCCTCCTTTTATTTTTACTTCACACTCAAGGATTGCGGATCAGCAAAAGTCTGAAAAAGCCCGCTTTCTGCAGTTGCCACTTTATCGACCCGCAGCCTCCCCATCGGCTGCGTGCGGCTGGGATTTGCAAAAAAGAACCCTTCCGGATGAAGTAGGTAAGGATATGCGGTCCTTTGAGACCTGCACTTTTTTTCGCTGTTCCCGGCCGGTCCGTGACATGCAAACACCCCGCAAAGCAAACGCGAGCGATAGCAGGCGAGAAGAGCAGAAAGAAGGGTGGGGGGACCGGGATTTGAGTTGAGAGTTGTCGCAAACACTCCACGCCTGCCGTGGCAGACGGGAGGGCCCAGACGGCGCGAAAACAGCCTCGGGGTCTGAGTGCCGCCGAGTGCTCCCCTCTGATTTGTCTTTGGGGCTAGAGAGCACATGCAGCTGATGCGCGTGTGAGTGTGAGCGTATGTGTCCTTGGTATTATGGACGGTATAGTAAATGTGGGCGCAGTAGCAGCGATCACATCCACACCTCCAAAAGGTGGTGGCCAGGCAGGGGAGAAAGAAGAAAAAAAAAAAAAAAAGGAAGACTTGGAAATAAAAGCATAATTAATCAGTGCAGAAGGATCAGGAATAAGTCCACGGCGGCCCTGTGGTAACACGTTGTCAAGTCCCAGGCTCTTTTCCCGCCCGCGCAAGTCTTCACCCTTGGGGTGACCGACCCAGGTCCGGTGGCTCTGCGAGGACCGGCCGGCCGGGGCTACGCTAGTGAAACGCCAGAGGTGCTGTGCCTGCCCTCTTCCATCCAGTAGCTCGTGTTTCTTTTTTCCTTTTCTCCTCCTCCTCCTCCCATCATGCACGTCTTGCCTCTGGTTGCGTCGGTGAGGTACCTTGGAGGACTCCGTCTGCCCGCATGCATACAGGACATACATGCAGGAGTGGTCGTCGCCTGCAGACAGATGGACGCATGGGCACCACCACGAATTCCCTGGGCGTTGCTGGCTGCTGCTGGGGGGGGGGCCCAGATCCGCGCGCCAGCAGGCCACTTAGTCTGGTGGTTTCTGGCTGGCTGCTGGTGCTGGTCGTCGGCAGCGCGCTGGCCTCGGCGATGCCTTGAGACTCACTCAACCCCTGTTGTCGTGATCAGCCAGGCCATCCATCTTCTGAGGGCTGGTCCTTTTTTTTCTTTTTTTTTTCCTTCCCTAGACTTTCGGCCCCGGAGACACTAGGAGGGGTCTCATCGCCAAGTTTGACAATCTCTTAGTGCCTCGTCATACTGTGCCACTGTGTGTGCTTTTAGTCTCTGGCCGGCAGTGTTCTGTACCGCTCACCCGTTGTCTGCAAGGCATGGTCGGCCAACAAATGTTGCTCCTAAAGTGGCCCGCATGTGCACCGCCACCGAGACCAATATCGACGAGGGGTTTGCGCGTCCGGGTATGCTTGTGGCAGGGGTGTTTTTGACGGCGGCTTCCAAGGGCAAAGAGGTGGTGACGGAGAAATGAAAGAGATCGCCCATACTTTCCCCGACACCACCTCACCACCCCTCCAACGGGGCAGCCACCTGTGTCCAAGGCACCTGTTGCCAGAATGCAAGCGAGGCAGGTAGGCAGGCAGGCACCGATAGTCTAGGGGGCGGCCACGCGCGCGCTCGAGTCGGGTGGGCGCTGGCGCTGCGCCGGGAGTGGAGTTTGGGGCATATCTGACTCTGACCGGGAACGCAGTCATGTTTTTCTTTTCTTTTTCCTCCGGCTGAGACTGAAATCCATCGTTCGATGCCGAAAAAGGGGTCATTAGCAAACAAGGACAGAACCAAGGGGGGCCCGGGCTAGCCTGTCGCTGGCCGATGGGCCAGTTACATCATTCCAGCTACCGTTGCCGGCACATTCTGTGCACAAAGGTCCCGTCTGGGTGGGGATGTGAAGGGCAGCCCTGGCGCTGCCTGGGGGGGGAGGGAAGAGAAAACGAACACAGCGCTCTAGAGATGCCCGCTCGGTCTGTGTCTTGGGTTGCCTTGACTTGTTGCTGGCTGGCTTGGCTGGCTGACGGGTTGCTCGCTCCCAGAAGCACGGGGAGGGTGGTGATAACATGGAAGGCCAGCGACTGGAAGCGAGCCTGTCCACGCCCTTCGGACCCTCGTCATTCGCCAGGGTCGGGTCGGTCGGAGCCAGGCTCTGCATCCCAGTAGCAGCAACACCACACCAGAACCACACACACACCCACCCACCACACGCCCCGCCCCCCTTCGATAGTCCCCAAAAGCAAACCCCGTCATTGCCATGCAACGCTCCACCTGAAAACAGCAAAAAGTTTCGCCCTGTGGGGGGTGGGGGGCCACGACGGCGGGCGGGCGGAGGGGACATGCGGGCCTCCCAACGAAATGCAGCTCGCCTCCTCGAGCAGGTTTCCAATGTGGTGGTCCCGAAGGGACGTACCACGGCAGAGGTCGTGCTTGGTACAGGTGTGTTTTTGCTGCTTCGGTTAGCTCGTTTGATCGGAATTGCCTGCACATGTAAGATATAGGCTGGCGTTGTTGATGAATTCCCATTCTGATGCTGGCGCCGACACTTGTTCAGCCGCCGAGGACGATACCATGCACTCCCTACTATGTAGCAAAGTACAGTCTATGTTGAGGCAAAGAGAAACTCTTGGATAAGGTGGAACATCAGCATCCGCCTGTTTGGGTAATGCTTTCGATCCGCAAAGTGCCCGTCCACCCACCGACCTGAAAAAAAGGAGGCATTGGAAAGGACCAAGGCAAAAGTGTGAGGGCATTGTTAAGAAGCACAGGGTGGCGCGCAGGGGCAGCACGGTGCTCTCTCTGCTCCCAAGCTCGAGTTTTCCGACTCCGAGATTGTCAACGATAATTCACGCGAGTCCCGCTTCGATGCGACGAGGGGCGGGCGGGCGAGCGGACAAGAAAAGGAAGAAGAAAAAAAGAAAAGAAAATTAGGAATAATAGCCCGTGATAATCCCCCGCCTGTTTGGGGCCATGTCGGGTCGGGTCCTGCGAATCTCGAATCTGCGATAATCCCACCGCTTTCGGGAAACTGGGTGTGCAGTGCAGCAGGGTGGGTGGGCAACGAGGTGATCCCAATGCAACGAAACGGCGAAACACAAACACACTCACACTCAGACAGCACAGTAACTTCACCCGCTCACCCGCTCCTCGCGCGCACTTCAATAGCCCGTCTCGATTGTTGCACTAAGATCACTCCTTAGGGTAGAATCAGGGGAACAACCGAGCGTGGGCGTGGCGCGGTGGGGCGCCCATCTGCGTGGCTTCCTTACTCTGTGAAGCGGAGAGAGATATGTGATGGGAAAAGGCTGGCTGGGGACCAAAAGAGACAGGGAAGCCTCCGCTGGCATAACGGGCTGGCGAGCCTGACACTTGAGAGATTGGGAACTCGGGCGCACTTGGTCCTGGTCCGGTACGGTCCCACAGCCGGCAACCTACTCCCAGCGCGCCAGCCGGGTGGGCATGCCGTGACAAGCAGCTTTCGAAAAAGAGAACGGCCCAATCACAGGGGCGCGGCGGGTGATGGATCTCATTAAGATCCTTGCGCTTGCCTTCCATGTCGAGGAGTGTGGGAACGCCACCAAAACGGCCTGCGGTGGGAGTGGGTGTGGCTCATTGTGGGTGTGGGTTTGGAATTGGTGGTGGTGAGCGTGGTGGTGGTGGTGCAGCTAGGTGGGGTGTGTGTGGCCGCCCTGGTTGTTGGTTCGCCCATGGGGCGGAGCAGGGCGAGATGTGGGGCCACCCTGCTGCTGTACCTTCTGGGTACGGCAGGCAGGCCCGTGTGCGAAGCGGCAGGGAAAGAAGGGGGAAAAGGACCATCGAGGCCATGTCGCTTGGTTCGGGGCTGCATGAGTCGCGCAGGGCCTTCACGGTACCTTTGGCCTTTCCCTCCTCCACCCCATCAAGTTCGCTTGCTCGCAAGGGCCCGGCGGCGGCGGGGTGGGGTTTCGCTGACGCCTGGTAGGTACGACACGATAGGTCTGGCGGTGGTGGCAATTGCATCTGGCGATGGGACGAAATGGACGGAGCATCGGGTCGCAACCGTGGTAAGGCTCCCGTGCATTGGACGTTCTAATTTCAGCCCATGTCTAACCGGCCGGCGCCGACTTTTTTTTTTTTTTTGGCAAAAAAGGTTGCGAGGGGGGGATTTGGTACGTATCGTGAGTGCAGGAAATAAAACAAAGAAAAACTTAAAGCATCAAATCTGCCGCCATCCGGGCCTTATCTGAAAAGAGCCTAACCTTGGCAACCAAGATGACTTGTCGGTCTCTTTTCGCGCGCGGGATAGCCCTCCCATGACACCCATGCCCTGCCTGTCCGGTGATTGGAAGGGCTTATGTCCCTGCAACCAATCCGCAAAAGGTTCTAGACGCATGAAATCCTCCCCTCAGGCGAAAAGAAAAGAACCATGGCAGGAACGCAGATGGAATTGGCACTTTTTTTTTTTTTTTTGTTCTCGCAGCATGGTCCCTCAAACTGCCCACCTAGTCCATGTTTCAAAGCCAAGGGTATTTCAGCATGTCCTGTTCATACGCACCCAGGTGAACAACACGCGGGGCACTATAAAGCCCAAATATGGGCGTAATACGTATACGTTGGCGCTACCAAGCGGACGTGGGTGACGGTCAGCAAAGCCGGTTCGGCCTGGCATGCGCATGACCCAGGGGCCGCTGAAGGCCAGGCTGCTTGTTTTTGAGTTCTCTCCCTGTTTTGCAACCGATGGTCACCCAAGGACATGTCTGGCGGTGGCGTCTGGCGGGCTGCTGGCCCCTTCCCCCATGTTCTCTGTCATGTGTTTAGTGCTACTTGTGAGGAGTTTGTTGTCGGTCGCGAGATGGGGGACACAGTGTGACGTTGGCAGACGGCTCTGGGACGAAACGCGAGCCGAAAGGGAGGCTGACAAGAGTCGTTGGACCGATACGTACCCATCCGTCGTATCATCAAGGGCCAGGGCGGATTTCCATAATTCGTCACACACTCACTCGGGCGGCCAATCGCAGCCGTCGGCGCAACCGCGGGGGGGACGTTGACTTTCCCCATCCGTCAACTTTTGTGGTCTAAAGTGTGTTGCCTGAGAAGAGACGTTCAGGAGACACTTCTGACTTGGCTGTGCAGCCAGCCTGGATTTCGATCCGTCTGCCGCACCACTAGAAGAGTCAATCTAATCCCCGGATGTACTTCCCCAAAGGGAATCGGCTTATCTTCAAACGAGCTGGATCTGCAATGTTCTACTTCCTTACGCACGGGGGGCACGCCGTTAACATTGGTTGGTAAAACACACATGCAAACACCTTTCTTCCCTTTGCACTTCCAGACCGAGGTAAATTCACATGGCCATTTAAAAGAGAACATCACGAAGAGCAAATAACATGTCCCTGTCACTTTTGTGGTTGAGCGTGCCTCGCTCGTAGAAAGCCCAGCGGCTAGCACCCAGGGTGGGTTGGGAGCGACACAGAAAAGACCGAACGTCGGAGATCACCACTTCCACTTTGTCTGCCGCGGGTCAAGACGTAGATGGAGTGCTGCAACATTGCTTTGCAATGCGACTCCAAAAAAGAACCATGGTCAGATATAGGGTGGATGCCGGGCTCGACTCGCTTGAGGGCGTGCGAATTTGCTTTTTGTGTAGAGGGGGGGGAGGGGCGCCAAAAGAAGGGATGATGTCTGACAAGCAGAACGGCATGGGGGAAGAGAAAAAAAAAGGTTGAAAAAGAAGCGAAACAGAAAATAAAATAAAGCCATACTAACTCTAACATGATTCAAGCAGCCCCAGCGAATTATACCGCCAGCCGCGCGTGCTGCTTGTCGATCCCTCCTCCTCTGCTCTCGTTTTAGCCGGCTTGTCTGGGTGTGTGTGGCCCTCCCTCCAGGGGGTGCCCGGTGGCATTGCACACACACACGGACCGGTACCGGTGAGGTGGATGATGGGGCCTGAGGGGGGCGTTGTTTTGCTTGGCTCCTGTCTCGTCGGCAGGTCGAGAGGGGGGTGTGACTTTATCGACACCCAACAGCAAGAACAGGCAGGGCAGGTGGTCACCACCTCTCTCTCTCTCTGGTCTCGTGGCTGGCTCGGACGCCAGTGGCTCGCCCGCCCGGACCAGTGATGAGCCCCTTTGGGGTTCTTGGCCACAGTCCAAAATAAAACACACACATATATCGCTCCCACACACTGTCTCTCACGCTCACGTCCTCACACACACCCCTCCTGCTTTTATGGGAAGCGACGCTACTTAACCGGGATGACATCCCACACGCAAGCGCATACACACGCCAGCATGGCCACGATCCACGGCCCTTTCCGGCATTCGCGTCCACAGGCCACCTCCAGGCGGTTGATTAGCTGGTGTGCGTAAATAGCGGGCGGGCTCCTCTGGCGGGGGGCCACTGGCTTGAGGGCCTGGGCGACGTGCAACGGTGGAACCTTTTGGTTCCAGCGCTGCTGTGCCGCCCGCTGGAGGAGCAAAAAAGGGGGTGAAATGCGAGTGCTACTTACCAAGTTCAAGCATCGCTGTGCTAGCGGGAAACCCATCATCCCTGGAAATCGTTTGGCCACAAGCAGCAATCACTGCATCGCAATCTGCTAGGGACCATCCGAGAAGGCAGGCGGCAGGCGGCCTGTTGTCATCCATTCCACTCCATTCCGTGCCTCGGGGGCCGGTCATGCCCTGCGTCCGAGAAGCAACCTTCCTCCTTCTGCATCCCCCATCCCCCTGACTTGTTTTATTTTTCTCGTCTTTTTGTTGTCCCACAGCGAGCCAGCCTGCCCCCGAGGGTGGATCGGCAAGCCTGGAAATCTTGCAACAGACATCCACCCATCCATCGTCCTGCCGGTGCAGCCACCCACTCTTGTGCGCTGTCTGGCGTTGTTACGAGCTATTATCAGACCGACGATCAAAGCCGTCCTCTGGTAGAACGACTTGGGACCCATGATTTGATGGGGGTGCGGCAGCAGCAAACAGAGGAGGATCCAGGATCCGAGATGCAGACCGCCACTGTCACGGCTGAAGCTCGGCGACGGACCAGAGGATTATTTTCCCCCTTGGTGACAACAGCCTCCGTCTCGCATCGTCACTCCACATTGGCTCTCGGACGGAAACGCTTGGTCGATGATCCGCAGCCTCGATAGACTCTGGCTTGGACAGGGTCCGATGCAGGCAAACTAACCTGCGACCAGCTGGCTGGCGTGGTGCCTCCAATAAAATCAAGGCGTCTGGCTAGTTATGGTCCCAAAGGCAATCAATCACGCCGATCTCACTGGCCGCACGAGATGGTCACCGCGAGAGCCCAAGATATTATTCGCCCATGTACGGAGGTGTCAGGCAAAAGTTTTCGCCGTGGGGCATGTAGCGACTAGAGGCAGGGCGTGTTCAGCTGCTACCAAATAAGGCCTAGCTTACGTATTTTTCAAAATCAATCACAGGTCTAGTGCTGTAAAAATATGTTTATTTATGAATCTTTATGCGTTGCTATTGGTCGTGGCATCTCCGGCCCCTGCTTCGCCTCGGGAGCGACCTGCCCCAC